TTAGACTTTTTTACACCGACGTTCGTGTTCTTTGACACGGACCAATGAAACAAGAAACAAGCGCCGAATTATCAAGAAATTTCAATGAATGATCTATCGGGGAAAGTCGCGGTGACCACCTTGGTCCCCCCTTGTTTTAGGTGTCTACCCCGAAGAGGCACTCTGGTTGGATCTGTGTCGAATGAGTCTATCGTGATCGAGCATACGGTAAAACAGGGATGTCATTCCCGAGGGCGGAGGGCAAACTGTCTTGGAGGGTTAAAAAAAAGAAAAACGAAAATCCCAAAAAACAAAAACGCTACAATTATCTTGTTGGAAAGTGGACACGGAAAAGAGACAAATAGATTTCTGCCAATGTTGTACGGCATGCATTCGCATTATCGACAATCGATTAGTTCACCAGCCGGAGGCAAGACCAGGCGCTGCAATGCTCCTCGATTATTGGATTGCAGGTTACATAACGCAAAAATAGTCGACGTACAATCGCAGTAGGACAAGCATGACCCAAAAAGAAAATAGGCCTGGAACCCGGGATTTTTTGACGCCTTCCTTCTCATCGACTGATGGATGCAAGGACGTACGATGCAAGATAGCAGGGCTACTGATGGCTGCAGCTGTCGGGCGACTACTGCAACTCCCATCTTCCGCGATCCAACATGGACCTATTACCCGGTTCGAAACAGACTCAAAGTTAACGATATTGGACCAACGTGCATGGTGCATGGGCTCCACTTCCCTGGTCTCTTACACACTCGCTCGGCTTCTTATCGTTCGTCCGGGTTGCGCCAGATTGAGCGGTGAAACCGCACCAGAAACAAATGGAATACATCGCGACGGACGATGAGCCAATCCGCCGGATCACGCCGGGAGCAGGAAGAAGACTGTGCCCACGGCTTGTTTGGTTTGGTACTAGGGATCTCTTGCTCGCCATGAGGCAGAGGAATTCGGTCTACTCAGGACTCAAGTCCACCTCCCTTCCGTTCTCTCATTCCGCTCTGTCTTGAGGGAGTGTTTTCCCCTTGGAGCGGGAGCTATATCTAGGTGGATATCCGTACATTGGTCCCTTTTTTATTCTCGCTTGACCGCTTCTCTTTTCCGTTTCTCGAATTCAATTTTTCTTTTTCTTTTTCTTTTTTTTATTTTATTTTTTGAAATTCAAGTCTTTTTTATTTTTTATTTTTTTCTCCGCTAGGTCTCTTGTCGCCTACCGATCCTGTCTGTCGGTTCTCTTCTCTTTCACCCTTTTGGAAGCAAATCCCATCGGTCAATCTCACCTCTGAGTGGTCCGCGGAGCTGCCGGCGCCCCTCCCACACACCATATCCCTAAATCCTTATGGTGCTCTAACCTGTCGAAAGCCGTCCGAAGGCCGATTCTTGCCCCCTGTCGCGATGACATCGAGAAAACGTTTTTGTCCACCATGGATAGTTTGGCGCATCCCCAGCGCGAGTTCGCCGCACCGGAGATGAAAGGGATAATCCTATTCTAGCGAAGTCCCCGTTTGTTGCCAGTCTATTGGTGCCGCCATGGTCTATCATCCACTCGCCTAGGATTCCTGCCTCAAACAAGTCCTACCTTTTTTATTTTATGTATTTGTTTGGTTTTTATTTATTCGACCGCATCAATGCGATGACGGAGCAGTGGAGGCCGTCTTCAAGCTTATTTATACTCCTCATCTGCCTCATCCAAGTATCGTTTTTTTCTTCTTCCTTTCCATCTTCATCTAATCTTCAAGTCATTAAATCTTGTACTGCTCTCACCTTCTACCCTGTTTCCCAGAACTATACATCTCTTTGTTCACTTGCTCTTCCTTTGTCGACCTTGAACTGCCACCTCTTATATCATAAACCACAATGCCATCATCAACTGCCCCCGTCTTGCGGCCAAAGAAGGCCCAACCTGTCAATGCACACAAGGAGGAGGAACCAATCAGCTATGACATCAACATCCCTTATGTCGATGTCAACAAGGAGACCCATGCGCGCACCAGATATCCCGAATACCTACCGACATGGGACAAAGTCTGGTTTGACCCGTTGACGCCTTTCACCTACGAAGATCCCGCCCTGCGCGTCAAGGACAAGTCTAAGCGCAACTTGTTGGGCCCTGACTCCAAAGTGACCGAGATTCAGCCGCGCATGGGCAGCATTGTTGAAGGTGTGCAATTGAGCCAACTCACAGACGCTGCTAAGGACGAACTGGCCCTGCTGGTTGCGGAGCGCAAGGTCGTTGCTTTCCCCGAACAAGATCTCATCGATGCCGGACCGGAGGCCCAGGAAGCCTTCATGCGCCACTTTGGCAAGCCCAACTATCAGCCCGTTTCCGGCAGCGTGCGCGGTCATCCTGGCTTCCACATCATCCACCGGGATGGTAACCGTGAAGAGATCACGCGTTTCCTAGAACAGCGCACCACGACGACCCTTTGGCATCAGGATGTCAGCTACGAGATCCAGCCCCCTGGCTATGTCATGCTGGGTCTTTTGGAGGGTCCAGAAGTTGGAGGTGATACCGTCTTTTCTGCGACTGATATGGCCTACAAGTAAGTCGACGCAGATCCAGTCCTCTCCAGTCAAGATTGAAACTAATGATCAATTCAGGCGTCTATCTCCCACTCTCACATCATGGCTCGACACTCTGCGCGTCACCCACTCATCCGCCAAAATGATCAACCATGCTCGCTCAACAGGAGGCCTGGTACGCAAAGACCCCGTTGACACCACCCATCCTCTCATCCGTGTCCACCCCGTTACCGGTGAGAAGTGTATTTTCATCAACGGTGAATTCATCACCCGGATCCACGGCCTCAAGGAATCCGAACAGCGGTGGCTTGTCGACTTCCTCATGCAGCATATGATCACCGGCCATGACTTCCAAGCTCGCGTGAGATGGCAACCCAAGACGATTGTCATTTTCGACAACCGCTCCACTCTCCGTATGTCTTGTTCCATTCTCCCCAAAGAACTTACCATAAAGCTGACCGTTCTAGACTCCGCCATCGTCGATTATCTAGACGACGACAACGGTGCCAAACTCCGCCACATTTTCCGCCTGACTGCGCTAGGCGAAAAGCCGATTCCCGTTTACGACCAATTTGAATAGATTGGTCCGGACCAGTCTACTCTTCATGATCTGCTTCCGTTCTGATTGAAGTTCATTTTGCCTGGCTTTGATCAAGCAAGCGTCATCCACGGAGTTTTTTTTTTCCCCCTCAATATTCTTACTTAATTTTGTTTTTGTTTTTTTTTTTTTTTTTTTTTTTTTTTGCACTTGCCACATCCCAATTTGTTGAACGGCTTCCATCCTCGGGAATTTAGAGCAATATTTAACACGCGGCTCAGATTTCCTTCTTCACTCATACCTTGCATTCATGGATATGACATGTCGGATCCGCACGGGGGCGTTTTTGTTTTCCATGTTGATCGCCATCATTCCATTTCCATTTCCAGGGACCCGGAACCGCCATTTCTGCTTGGCTGCTTTCGATTCATTTGCTTTTATTGCTTGCTTGATTGCTTCGTTTGGTTTGATTGATACCTCGGCATGGTTGGGAGATAGAACGGTTGGATTCACATCCTTATTTTGTTTTTGGTTGGCTTTCGGGTGGGTATGATTTGATTTATCCATTACGGTGAATCACTTCATACCCGTACGCGACTGCCTTGTTGGCTTTTTTTTTTTTTTTGGTTTCGCTAATAGACTTGCTGATTCTGTTCTTTGTTTGCCTTTGCCTGTTTGCCTGTGTGTTTGCTTGCTTTTCAGGCTGGTTTTTTCACATTTTTCATCTCCTGCTGCTCTCTTTTCTTCATGTATCTCTCCTCAATTCCGACCGACTGCGTTGGTCGAGGGGCGGTGCTACCTTTACTATTTACTTATTCACCTTAGTTAATCTACGATGAGATGAAACTTGAATTTCGGTACTTTTATCAGAACAGAACTTTTAGAAAACTCGGATACTTTATCCGTCGACCGGTCTAGACCGACAGGCCTGATGAGACTAACTTCCAATGCACAATTTATGTAGTCAACGCCAAAGTTAAGCCACAGCGCGGAATACTTAGGACCTTCACCTCATAGTGTAGATAGGTATCAATTTATTGAAACCCTTCTTGTGGGCTGGACAGGACAGATTATCAACTGGAACTTTCTTCCAGTCTGTAACTCTATTTCCACCGCTTGCACCAAATGTAGATTCTGTCTATTCATTTAGTGTGATGCCGCATTCACGCAGGAAGGTACGGAGTACTAATAACAAAGATATGTTCTTAAAGACTGTCACAGTAACCATGCCATTTTCTCTTTATCTCTCAGAATATAGATTCTTTTGCTAGGAAAGCAAACAAGAATTCATACCTTTTAAGAAATATATATATGCCCCTTGACTGCGAACCAACATGTAATAGTAATACCACGTGCACTCGAATATATACAACCAACCTCTAAAATAAGACCAAAAATTGTCTGGGTTGTTAGTATGGAAGATCTAGATGCTTCAGGCAATCCGCCAAATCTTCGCTAAAGGCAAGTTCTGAAGAATATTATATAAAACGGAAGATCCCATAAATAAAGCGGAAGATTCCTTAATATTGTCAAGGTGCGGGCTGGCGGGGTGGTAGAGCTGATGACAGACAGGCGAGCGGGTAGGCTAATAGTTCACGGTATCTCTGAATTGCTACGGGGTCAAGCTATCTACAGGCTTATAGACAAGGCGTAGCTCGATGAGCTTCAACAGGATCTTCAGGCAGGCGGGAAGGTATGCGGTCTACGGGTCACATGGTCTCGGAACGGACATTATGGCTTTCCGGGCCACGCTTAGGAGGTGCCTTAGGCATCCTAGGTCTGCACCGTGACAATTGATAGGGGCCACAGCTAGTATGTGGCCATTGACGCTCGGTCTGGCTCGCCTACGGTGAAACCCTCTCTGCCTCAGGCATACATCAGATACGGCCTTTCACCCGCCAATAAAAGCACCAAACCCGATCGCTACGGGACACGTGTTGCAACGATGGCAACACTCAACTCCCAACCAGGCGGGCCTCTACAAGCCGCTCTACTGGAGACAACTACAGCAGCCTCTACGAGAGCTGCCGAAGGCCAGAGGATCTTTAGCCCGATAGCAATTTTTCTTGACAAGCACCGGAGCCAGTCAGGGCTTGCGCCTCACCAGCGAGGCGCGCTCGACGCGCTCAGCAACGACCTGGCCGATATAGCCCAACGTCACTTCAGTGCCTATATCAGCGGAACCCCTTTGACCTTGACTACGATCCCCCCTGCCCCTGCCTCTGCCCCTGCCTTTACCCCTGCCCCTGCTTCTCTCCCCCCGTCTCCCCCTCCATCTCGCCCCCCCTCCGGTCTTGCTCAGTCGACGTACGCAACAGTCACCCAAACAACCAAGGCCAAAGGCCCCTCTACATCTCGGCCTAAGGCCAAGCAAAAGACTATAACTCCTGCCCCCGACCAGCAGCCTGACTCCCGCCTCTTTGTACGCCTCCCGCCGAACCATCTTGCCAAAAATATGGACGCATACGCTATCTACACTAGCCTCCGTTCCCATCTAGGCACCAACAACAAGACACTTAAGGGTGTCCAGTCTATTAAGACAGGATTCGCTCTTCTGCCTTCATCTCCCGAAGCTCTCGCAGCCCTAGAGGCACAGAAAGAGGCTATCACTACCTTCTTTACCAACTGCCAGATCGAGCGAAGCTCTCGCTGGATCTCGTATCGAGTAACAAACGTACCGAGGAAGGTCGGCCGGCTGAATGCAAGCCAATACTCTTTAATTCCCGTTGATTCGGAGATACTATCAGCTGAAGTAGCTGAAATTACCGGCTTTACTCCAGTTACAGTAACCGAAACTGCCGCTAGCGCCTCTAATACAAATACGATTTCTTTAAGCTGGTTTATCAATTTTCCCGAAGAAAGTAAAGCCAAGCTGCCTGTACGACTATCTCTATTTGGTATGATTACCAACGCCCAACCTTTATCCAGAAAAGTCAAAATATCGCAGTGCAACTGCTGCTGGAAGTGGCATAACTCCAGATCCTGTGCACGTAACCCTCGGTATCGCCTCTGCGGCTTTACTTAACATACCGAAGAAGGTCACACTAATCACTGCGCTGCCGCGGCTCCTCATACCTGCCCCCCAAGATACCTACACTGCCATGGTCCCCACCCAGCAGACTATAATCAATGCCTTCTCCGGCCCAGCAAGCCAGGCGCTCGTTTCACAAAAGCCCAGCAGGCTGAGACCCGCAAGACCTGCTCCGCAGCCCTCTCTAAGGCACGGACTGAGAGCAAATGCTGTTCCCAACATCCAGAAGCCCTTGAAACTGGAATCTCTGAAGCCTCGCAAGAACAGGATATGTCTATCGACAGCCATCCTACAATCTCTCCATTCCGCCCACAAATCCCTCCTCAACAAGGACCAGCGGACTCCCCCCCAGTTACAGCTAGAGCAGTACGCTTTACAATATTACCACTACAAAACCAGTTTGGAACTCTTACGAATGAAAAACTATAAGATTTCAGAATTATCAGACAGATTCTCTCTCAATACTTCAGCTGAATGTGGGCCGCCACGAGACAGCTCATGAAATTACCCTATCTCAGGCATATTCCAACAATATCGACATTATCTTGATACAGGAACCCTATATATATAGGGACCATACCCGCAAGATCACAAAAAGACATCTCTCATACGAATGCTTCTCCCCAACTGACAATTGGGTGATAAGCGGCTGACCTAGAGTCCTTACCTACATCCGAAAAGGAAAGGGTATACAGTCTTCTCAGATACGCCCAACTTCAATCGACCAAGAAACATTATCAGATCTTCTTCTACTCCAAATCTCTATACGCTCAGGACAATCTACTCTGATCTTCAATATTTACAATGCTCCCAGTGCTGGATCTTCGATCAGACCTGGTAAAGCTGTTCAGGAACTGATTAAACTTCCTGACTCTTACTTTACTCAACTAACCCTACTAGCAGGCAATTTCAACCTGCAACATACCAGATGGCAGCCCTCACTCCAGCGAAGCCCCTCCACCTTAGCTGAACCAATGTCTGAATGGCTAGATCAACAAGGACTAGTGCTAATCTCCGAGATCGACACCCCTACACATAGAAGAGGCAATACCCTGGATCTAGCCTTCGCATCTAGCTCTCTTGCCTTCACAGGGGCACATACTAAGGTTGCGGACTACCTAGATGCCACATCAGATCATTACCCTCTTCTTACCACCCTCCCCTGGGGACAGAGACACCCAGAGGCTTCACAGAGGCTTAAATTCAGCACCCTAGACACTTCCCGTTTCCAAACTCTCTTAACCCTGAACATTAACACCCTTCCAGTAACGGCACACTCAGAGAAGGAACTTGATTACCTTGCAAGTAGAATTACTTCAGCTGTATACAGTGCATACGCAGCTTCTGCACGCAAGACTAGACCACAGGGAGGGGGACAGCCCTGGTGGAACCCAGAATGCAAAGAAGCACTCTTGAAGTATCGCGCCAGTTTATACTCAAAAAAGGACTTCCGCCGGACAGTAAGACAGGCAAAGCGAAACTACTGGAAAGATAAAATAAACTTAACAACTACGGCTAAAGAGGTATTCGACATGTCCAAATGGTATAGAATAACAGGATCCTACCGCAGCCCTCCATTGGCAGACCCTCAGCAACCAGAGAACCCACCAGCAGTTGATATTCAAGCCAAACGGGATATCCTAGCCCGTAATCTCCTGCAGAACTCTGCAGAGGCAGGGGACATACCACTTGACGCA